CAGTCTACATCATATAAGGTTACGCAAGTGCAAATGCTACTGCGAGGTTGTTAATGTCGTGATATCCGCATATTTTCTAGGAGTCATTTTAATAGAAATACCACCCCAGTGGACACTTTTTTTGAAACGCCATGCCTATTGTTATTTGAAATGTCACGTCTGAATTATGGACTCTAAATTGCGCGGCTTAGTGTATAAATGCAGTCCGAAGCTTAATTTGTATCCATAATTAGGAAGCGAAGTGAGTTTTAATTTGTGTTTATATCACAACTATCTTACTCTAGTTTGCTACTTGCAAGGAACCAGATCCCCAACTATTGCACTTCTATATTTATTCAAACGTCGGCTTTCTGTATTAACCAACGCAGCTGCCACAATTTGCGTCGACGATGGGTGCTTTTAAGGTTGACTGTTCTCATTCAGCACAGTAATTCTGGCTGTTTTTTTTTTATTGAGAATATGTATCGCTTTTACTGTGCACTTGAATTTCTTACTTTCTGCAGGATTACACAGTACCATTGCGTTCCATCCTATCGCCTATAAAAGTGCTTAAATCGTGTGCTTTACGCTCCATTTTTCCTCTTTTTAGGAAAAATGAGGATAAATGGCACAGAAACCGCCTGCTATACCTTACTCTCCATTACCTCTGACAGCAAACGGTATACGGAACAAAAAATAAAGGAGGATCTGCAAAATGAAAATGTTTCCATCAAATGTGAAGCCTTAAAAGAACTCATTCGGAACATCATAAACGGCGAAAAATACCCCAACATACTTATGACTGTTATTCGCTTCGTTATGCCGTCTCAGGATCACACTATCAAAAAATTACTTCATCTCTTTTGGGAGGTAGCTCCCAAGTACTCTGCAGATGGAAAGCTTTTACACGAAATGATCCTGGTTTGTGACGCCTACCGACGTGACCTGCAGCATCCTAATGAGTTCGTAAGGGGCTGCACTCTTCGTTTCTTGTGCAAATTAAAAGAACCAGAACTGCTTGAGCCTCTTATGCCCTCCATAGTACAATGCCTTGATCACCGTCACGCCTACGTTCGTCGGAACGCGGTGCTAGCTATATTCACAATTTACAAAAATTTCGACCACCTGGTGCCGGATGCACCGGAGAGGATCCTCAACTTTTTGGCTCAGGAGCAGGACCCATCCTGCAAACGGAACGCCTTCTTAATGCTGCTACACGTTAGTCAGGGCACCGCGGTCGAATATCTGTCGAGTTGTATCGACAGTGTGGAGACATTTAGCGAGACAATGCAGCTGGTCGTTGTGGAGCTAATTCACAAGGTACCCTTTTGATTTTCGTTTAAACAGCTTATAAGGTGTTCCGTAGCCAACCAACCGAAAGGATGAAGTTTATCCGCTGCGTCTTCTCACTACTGAAATCAACCTGCTCATCCGTTCGCTATGAAGCCGCCACGACTCTAATAACCCTAAGTGGAGCCGCACCTGCTATTCGTGCTGCCGCCAGTTGTTACATTGATTTGATTCTAAAGGAGTCAGATAACAATGCCAAGCTTGTCATCCTGAATAGTCTCATTTCCCTAAGAGGCAAACACGAGAAAATTCTCCAAGAATTGGTTATGGACTTGGTCAGAATTCTAGGTAAGTTCCCATTTTTTGACTTTTCTATTTTCTTTAAGGTGCATCCGACATAGAGTTGCGCAGAAAAGCCCTAGAGCTAATCGTAGATCTTGTGACCACTCGGACGGCAGATGACCTGATCGTATTCCTCAAGAAGGAAATATTGAAGGCCAGCAGTTCTTCAACTGCATCAGCCCCGGCTCTACCGTCCGGAGATGCTTCAAATAGTGAGAGCGTGACTCAGCCTACTAACAAGAACAACGATGAGGACACTTACCGCTTCGTCCTTGTTCGTGCTACACGTGAAATTTGCTTGCGATTTCCCTCGGCCCTCCCAACAATTCTTCCGGCTTTGTGCGATGTAAGCAGTCATTTAACCTGTTACATGGTCCTATTACTACTGTTCACCGGCTTAATCCAGGAGTGCCTGTTTGTCATGAATTACGTTCTACGCTTCTTACTTAGGTTCTAACCTACACCGAGCTCCAGGATTCAAAGGCCTCCATAGAGATTTGCAGGTTGTTGCGTGATACGATCTATCGTCATCCTCAACACAGAGCTTCCGTCCTGGGCAAGGTGATGCAGTTACTCCCTTCAGTGGCTGGTTATGAAACACTGCGTCATCTGCTCTGGATTTGTGGCGAGTTCTGTTTCAAGGAGGAAATCGCTGAGTTCATGTTGACTGTTCATAAGGCAAGTATCCTCCTCGTCATTCTGTCCTCTTTTCGGCCATTTTGTGGCCTGTGTTAACTACTATCCGCTCATCTAAATATCATCCGCATCTAAAATATCATAGGATTATGTTGCACGATGATCCATGTTACAGCCTCACTTAAACAATTAATCCTAGTCGAAAACGTATTTTAAGATTTCAATTGGCACTCCACGAGATCGATTACTGACTGTACATTT